GGGACACCAATCTCGGACACTCCATGGCATATTTACCTACATCGGATTGGTTTAATGATGTTTGATGGGGTAATGTAGGTGTATATATATACCCTATAGTTACTATAATTACTATACATGATTCTATTATCTTCTATCCATGGATGTTTGGGGAATCCCAAAAAGGTTCACCAATGACGGTTGCCCACCGGCCTGTCCAATCTATATACGTGCGCCATGAATCTCGAATCTCAGCTGCCCCGAGCTCCGAGTTCGGCAAACAAAAATCCCACCACCAGCCAGCCGTTCCCACCGACATGGAACTCCTGGCAGTGAAAATTCGGAACTCCTGCCAACCAACTGACCTCTTCACTTTTGCTGCGCGCTCGTGCCGATACTTGGTCGCTGAGAGTCCCTGACGAATGTGATGCCACTGAGTTTTCCTCTATTCAGCTGCTAGGACAACCTATACCTGTTTATCCTGTTTGTGAGTGTGCTACTTGAGCGAAATAACAAAAATTCATCTGTTACCGTTACCCCTCCTGATTTGGGGATGGGTCAAGACTTGGAGTCCCAACAGCATGTAGCTTGACCTGCCAGGTGGAAGTGTCAGACCGGAGCGCAAGTCATGTCGGTAGGTCAACCAAGGTATCCTGGTGTTGACACAACCATATCGTTTGGCCAACCCACTCCCTGAGCGCCCGGGCTAAACTGAACATTCGCCGCCTTGGTCCATCTTCTGTCAAACATCTGTCATCGGGTGGTGATCACAGCTACTGTCGCAAAACAAAACATATGCCAGCATAGACCCCAACAAGTTTCAACATTTTATTGGGCGTCAACTCCTTGAATTCCAATATTGGTGGCAAAGTCTGTATTGGGAATGACATATAAACAACACATTAAAGAAAAGGATGGTTCCTGATTCCCGAGGCCACATGTGCAAACACGAAGGCATATGAGAAAATCCGAGGATGATATCAAGCGATGCATCACTCTTGCATTCACACATACCCGGGGAGAAAGTGAAAGCGGGCCAAGCAGGGGATAAGGCCGGGACGAGGCGGTGATCAAGGGGCCAGAAGAAAGGCCCACGGCACCCATGCCGCGGCCAAGCAGGACACACAGACCCGGACAAGGATTGGACAAGGCCAGGCCTGGACAAGACGGCGGAGCTCAACAAGGACAGCAGGGCCTAGGGTGTGGCCAAGCCGGACACACGGACCCAGACAAGGCCTGGACATCTGTTTGGGGAACAAGGGAGGACACAGCGCGGCCAGAGAACAGCAGGAGGACACCAAGAGGACAAAACAAGGACACACATATCGCCAGCGTGGCCGGAGGACATCTAGAACCAGGAGGACAAGAGGAGGACACAGGACAGCAGGAGGACACCAGGACAAGAGGAGGACACGGGTTTGCGAGCGCGGCCAGCAGGACAACTGGAGGACAAGAAGAGGACAACAGGAGGACAACACCCAAACGAAGGGTTCAGGGGTGCGGCGAAAGACTGTGGCCAGTGTCTTTTTCCTAAGAGAGAACCCCAACAGTGTTTACTGTTTGAGGGAAAACGCACCAGGTTGTATGATCATGCGTATGGGACACGTATGGAGATCTTGAAGGAATGGTTGATAATGGTTGGGTGATGGGTGTATGCACATCTATATCACATGGAGCTCAACATTTCACCATGCGTGTCTCGTGTCTCCTCTTCCACACGTTCATCTTGCATGCCTCGTTCTGTGATTTGTCCTTGTGGGAGAGGGACTCAAGAAGGAATTTGCTTTCCGCTAGTACTGCTGGAAGGGGGTTGGGGGTCTCCGAAGGCACAAGACAACATGAAAACTGAAAGACAACACACATACTGAGCACAAAATTGAACACCTGAAGGGAACACAAAGCAAACAACACAACTGATGGATTTAGTAAACTGAAACAAAGGGTATCGTAAATGGAAGGGTTTGGGAGGTCATGTTAAGAGAGGTACAACTGGAGGAAGCAGAAAGGCAAAGGCAACCTGAGGAGTCTTTAGAAAAATGCAGCAAAAAGGATGACTCTAGGTATCCCACCTCCTGCACCACTCGGCTGGTTCTAAAATCTTCTAAGAAATCTGTGTTTTGCGCAGTCCGTGTCTTTTGCACCACTCGAACGTGTCGGGCGTCGTTTGCTTCACCTGGACCCGAACAACAAAGCAACGCTGTTTCCGCTGGGCTGGGAGGAGGACAAGTCCTTTTCCGTCAAGGTGTGCAACGCGTAGAGCATCACAAAACCTCGATGCAAATGGAAAAAACGAAGCTACTAGGGGCTCCTGGCCTTACTACTACGAGCAAGAAACTACTAGCAACAAAGGGCATCGCTACCTTCACGGAGCAACGGCAAACTTTCAGAACTTTCAGCTCTGTCGGGGCATTCGCTCCAGGAACATCTCATCTCTCATCCGCTGGAAGAACTTACACGTACTCAGGTGCGGCACCAAAACAGTGGAAGGTATGGAGCCACTCCCATGTAGCTGGCTCTGTCCCAACACTTTGATGTTGGGGGAGCAACGCCCACAGATCTTCCCAAACAGGCAGGCCATCGCCATCCACAATTCTTTCAGGTACAAAAGAACTGCTAACAAACATCAAATATACTGAAGATGATCCCAGTCAGATCTGTTGTAAAGAAACCACGGGGCAAATCAGGGGGGCTATGATGTATCACGACTGTCGTGATGCATCATGTCATTAGGTAATGCATAATGGCTATGCGTCTATACCTATTATATGTCTAAACTCCTGTGACATGGATAAACTATGTAACATTAATCTAGGAGAGATAGGTTTGTGTAATATATATATATATATCGAAATTAACTAGTAAGAACATTATCATTCAAACTGTGCACGAGTTCCATATTGTCCAGTCTGAGGACACAGGTTTTGGAGAAACCATCAAGCCTGGAATGCTCGCTTGGTACCAGTAGCACCCAAAGTGCTAGCACTGGCCCAAACATCGCTTCCAGTCACTGGAAATAAACCTATGGCTTGTCTTTCAGACACATTCAAAAACAAAAGCACTGGGTCATAACTGGATCTTTTGTCCTGACATCCTGTGGATGTGAGCACGCTGGGACAAAAGGCAGTTCTCCCGACAATGGCGCGTCATTCCTGCAAAGGCTGCAAAGGCATAACTAGACTGTGCCCGAACCTAAAAAGAACAAACGTTGATGCATGTCAAACACATCTACTACATACTACATAATCCCGAGTACCTATTAATAAACACTCCCAATTAAAAAACACCCCGTCCGAAACCCTAAGTTCGGTTTATATTTGCTTAAATTACCGCCCTTTGAAGCCGCTACTAAACTACCAACATGGTCGATTTTGGGGGTAGTTTCTTTTATTAGGTTCCAAAAACAACCGTAACTGCCCACATCTGTCCGCCCTGTGTATCCACCATGACACGCCGCGTTTACACCAGCAGGTTTTCCTTCCTCCAATGGCACGGACTCGCGCAAACGCACTTGCCACCGAGGTCGTGCAAAACCGCATGGCACAGCGACATCACCTTGCGAAAGCTTTGGTTGTCAGTCTAATGAATCAGTATTCTAATAAAGGTTTTTGTAGGGGAAAAGGAAGACCCTTCGATCTGGAGGTTTTTTGCATTATTTTGATACGAGTTTAATAAAGGATTTTGTATTACATTTTTATGGATTACTTTTTTGTTTTGAAGCTCTTCCCAGGTGACCCGATTTTGCACCTTCCAATTTCAGGGACCCCCTATTAGAAAAAATGCGACCGAGTTTCTCTTATTAGGGGAGGGGGGGCTGTGTTATTAATAGGTGGATGGGATTAATTCGTCATTGAACACCACAAGAGTTCACCACTTTGGCAAGACCCCTTGTCATCCACATTCGGCTCCCCCAACCAAACACCAAAGACTTGCTTTGTGCCGATCGGATGGGCACGTCACGTCTGCCGCCGCGTGGCCCTTGCGTGGCAACAGCCACTCTTCGATCCGCCGCAGGGCGCTTTTCATGTCGAAGCCCGGCACCGACGGAAGGCCGTAGTAGCCGACCTCAGTCGCCGACCCCCGCGCTGGGGGTTCTTCCCGCGGTTTCGAGACGGAACGCCGCGTTTTGTGTTTTCCGCGGCTTCCGGGTTTTTTCCGGGTCCGGGCGGAGCAGAACTGGAAGAAGCGCAAGCTGTCGTCGTGCTGTTGCACTATTTCAAGAGGTTTGGCGGTGTTGCAGAGGTTTTCGGAGCTCCACCAATGCTCCGGCAAAGTCTCCAGAGCTGCCAGAAACTTTATTGGCCAAAGTCGAAAGCTTACTCTTGCTACCAAAAAGGATGGAGAGTCCTTCCGTCCTTGCCATTCTTATCCTAACGAAGAAACACCAGGCTCCAGGTGTTCAAAGGATTATATACATGAAATTTGCATACTAGTAGCAAGGACGCTATTAGGTGGAGGCCATCGCAAGTGGGTCGGAGGCCATCGCTACGAACGTAGCAAGGACAAGTCTGACCTGAAAATGTCGAACACCTCACCCCGAAGCTGAACTCTGGGTCACTTGTGTTTCTGGTCACTGGTGAATTCTCGGAGCAAATCAGCCTGACCCAAAGGCGAAGAACGCAACAAAATAACTTGAGAAATATGGATAAATCATATGCTGCGTTATTATAATCCAGCAAAATCATAGGCAACTGACAATGCATATCATATGCTGGATGTGTCTTTGCTCATAAGATCTCAAAGGCGCTGGGTAGAACCGTTGCAGGCCTTAGGTATCCGTATTTACTCTGCAAATAAATGAGAAATATCGACGACCACAACAAAGCCTTGAATCTGATTGAGTGTTTGCTGAAAAGAACGATACTATAACAGTGCAGGAAGCTCATAGGCAAATTATCATGCATTTTGTTTCACCCATTCCTGAACAACACATCTGATTATATAACTCTATATAGTAGATAAGCGAAATTCCGCCAGTTCCAGTTCCAGAGAACATGTGCCTCCAAGGCACATCAATGTACATCTCATCTTTGTCTGAATGAGGATGGTGGATGCTTCGAGGCTCGTGGTGCTTGTTGAGATATGGGCAAAGCCATATGGGATACACGCCTGTGCGACTGCCGTGGCGGTGTAGAAAGATATGGGGTGTTCCAGTTCTGTGGGTCATAGGACCCGCCAGGAACTCACCCATTATGGTATGTTATTATGGTAAGCATCTGTTCAACCTTCTGGAACACCGGTACATGGAAACACCACTCGCGGAGTGCTTCGAGATCGACCACCCCAATAGTGTTGCAGCATATTGCAAGTATGCCAGTCCCAGGCAGGTCATGTCTGGGAATTGAGCTCCTTCGAATTTCTCGCTCCAGCTCCGTCTCTGGCCCGGCGGACCAATGGCCGGGAGGGCGACTCGGCGACTCGTGCGGACGCGGAGGAGGCCTAGTGCGTCGTCTCCGAGATCCAACATCGGCTGCAACTCCTTGATGGGAATCAAATAGTCCTGCCGACTTCAGATACGTTCAAAGCCTGCCAACATCTGCCAACCAAGAGATGAAATTGGACCGGTGAATGAGACGTGAACATTTGCAGTGGAAAAACAAAAACAGGACCATGATGGACCATGTATGTCATAGTACACTTGTTTATTGGAAACACCACTATGATTCTTCACAGGCCTTTGGTACGTAAACGAGAGGCTGTTTCAGGCATTTTTTTCGCCTGGGGTGTGGAACCAAATATCGCCCAAACTTAAACGTGTTCTCGCTCGAAAAGTGGCCCACAAAACAAGTTGAACGCTGATTGAACGCTTTTTTGCAAGAACTTTCCGCTTCCGCATGCCCCGGGACCGCCGCCGTGCCCGCAGGTGCGACGCGACTCCTGGATGACGTTGACATTGCAATAGTATCTGGCGACAATGAGGTGTCAACAAGAGTTCTCAAGTGTGGGCGTCCAAACTACGACCAAATGAATGCTTGCACCATCTTGTATGTATAATTATTGCGTTATATTGTGATGTATTACAATACAAAGTAATTGAATTTTGTGTTGTTTCAAAACCACAGTTTCCTGAGAAGGGTTCCCTCTATAGGGAACTCTGTTTCAGGCAAACCGCAGACTTCTGGTATATTGACCACTGACTAACAATGCTATTGCGACCGAACTGCATTTCAGCGTCGGCATCTCTGAGAGATTCTGGAGAGGCCAAGAAACAAGCTGCCGCTAGCTGCCGCTAGATACGTCCGATCGGTGTTGTTCGTTACCATTTTGGGAACACTGTGGATTTGAACACTTTTATCACACTGGGTCTGTCCAATCAATGAGACACTGTCTTGTCTCTACATGTAACGCAAACGCGGCGTGGGAAAAGAACCCCTTGAGGATTCCAGGATTCCAACCCGAAACGAACTCCCAACAAAAGCAAAGCACAATAACTTATATAAGCAACAAATGCGACAGAAAGCATACGGCATCATACGGCGTTCATCATGCGCCGGGCAACAACATGCAACAATGACATGACCTCAGAAAGACCCTATGTGTTCACTTGTGAGGGGAGCTACGTCTTTGTATATACCTCCGTAGGGATCCAGTCGTACCTTCTCAGAAGGTACTTGGACCCTCCAAACCTACATAACAGTGTCTCAAATCACCTTCTGAGAAAGTACTTGGATCCCTAGGGCTTCTATGTGTATATAATATATATTACTTGAAACAACCATCGCATCCAAACAAGACGTATATAAATGTGCGTGATGTCTCCACCCAGTGCCTCATGGTCCACTCGGGTTGGTATGATTTCACCAAGGCAATGTTCAACGGATTGATCCATCCTTGAACATCTCGGGATGGGTCGGTGTCGGGATAGATGATTCAACCACGTCGTATGCGCCAGTGAATCATAAACAGTCCCAAATCAAAATATGAAGGCCTCTTTCATGTGTATATATATACAGTATATATGTATACTTTCTACGTTCGATGGATCCAAATCCCATTGAGGTCCAAATTCTGGATTCGTTCATCTACTTTCGGATTCAATTTCTGGGAAGGTAGTTGGACATCAACCACCTGAACCACCTAACTTAGCCGTGTCCTACATTCATGGGTTTATCGAACATGAGGGGACACCCAATGGATGTTCCTCTACTTATTGTGCATCATATATGTTGGTAAGACATTTCCCCAATTCTGAGAATGATACACACCTCTTCTACACCCATTCTTGCTTTAGAGATCTGACATGAGGTGAGTTCATCCCTACTGGGCTGCTTCACTGAAGCCTTATGTCTTTGAAACTGCAAGTGCGCGGATCGATGGCCTAAGTAGCGAAGGGCAGTACAAAGCTTCGCTGGTTTTGGCCCATGAAACCGCACCACATATTGGGTGAATCCATAAATCATGGTGGATGGGCTCGTTTTTGATAACTTATTTATGATAGATGCTGAATTGGTGAAAGAACCAGGAAGGATTCCTATCAATGTGAGCTTCTTCGGGTCTCACCTCGGGAAGGTCAGACCTCGGGGTCGGTTCGGACTCCAAGGACGTCGGCCGCGAAGCCGAACGAACGGTTGTTGCCCGGTGGCAACAGCCACGAGCCACCCATTCCCCATGGGCACTGTTGCCATGTCCAGTGGAGAAGAACGGTTGCCAGTGGAGAATCGGATCACTTGGTGCGGTGATGTAGTCTCAAGATGTCGTGAATGACGCTTGGTGTGTCAGCAAAGGTAGTGGTCTGTCAGTCGACGCGAGCATGTTCAACAGTCGAACCAACCATCACGTCAACCAGTGCCGTGAAAAGCGTCCCATCAACCAGCGGAACAGCATCGTGTTGCCCCATGGCTGCAAGTATGACCTGGCGACGGAGGCCAGTCCCTCAGTCCAGGGGCGTGGGTGTTTCCTTTGTGGTTCCAGAACTGAAGTGCCGATGGAATCCCCTCGCCACGCCGGCTTCTGGCCATAAATGTTTGGGTTCCAACCTCCAACAAATCCCTTCACAGTGGCCTTTTGGGAGCCCAAATGGGCCCAGCATCTCAGGACCCAGGCAAGACATGGCTAGACATGGCTAGACGCGTTCTTCATGTTGGGTAGATGAAAGAACAAGGAGCCGAGTATGTAAAAACATGCTGCAACGCACATGGCGTTCATCCAGTCTGCCTGGTGGCAAAGCTAGGGATTACAGTAAAACCGGGAGTTAGAAAAGGGCATGTTTCTTCGTCCTACGACATGCAAATAGAAGGATACCCACGCGCTGTGCTGACGTCTGACTGATTCTGAGTACCCAACAGCTCCCAAAAGATACCTTGGTGCCGCTTCGGTTCTGCACAATTCGGTTCTGCACAAGTGTTTCACCAATCCAAGTGCTGAGATGCTTGGTTGGTTTGACCTCCAAACTGCTCCTCCCAATGGAAGTGATCTTTCATATATAATATAATATAGTAATTTCTTCAGGCCAAAGTTTAAACATTCCTAACTTACAGGATGTTCGCTGTTAGGCATGACAAACATGCCTAATTGACGAACATGTATATAGGTTCTTTGGTAACCCCTTCCCAGGAAGAAATTCACAACAGAAAAAACACATTTACCTTCTGCCTAGATATCAAACAAAACACATCGATCAACAACAGTTATATAGAAAAGATCAATCTCAGGGCCTATTTGGTCCTTACATGCTTTGGAGCTGCACAAATACAAACGACCAAAAGTGCTAAGCAGTGCCTTCTCAATGCGTGCCCCATTCCTTTTTGCTTACCGTAAAGCCTCAACAAATGAAACCAAACACGTCTCTCAGAGCAACTCTTTCTTTGCAGAGCTGCTCTTAGAATGTCGATGCAAGTATTCCGTTGTGCCTTGGAGAGCGAGCAAGAGGTCGAGCGCCGTGAAAAAAGGACGCAAAGGTCGATTTTGTTGGGGGGAACGGGAACTGCGGGAACTCGACCCAGCAAAGAAATTGCATCCCAACAGCAGTTCCCCTAGCCTTCCACGACTATAAAAACAATAGTTGTTGTCTTGCGACTATTCGAGTCTGGCAAACGACTATTTCGAGCTGCAGCCTCCACCGGCTGACAGGATTGATGGTGCTGGTGCGTGGAATCAAGAAGTTTCAGGGAAATCGAAGACATGCACTTGAACTTTTGCAGTTTAAGAACCCATGTATAATATAGATTTTCGCAACATACAGTGCATACAACACTTTCTTCAGTTGCAAGTTTCGCCCATGGTGATTCCTCAGCATCAGCATGCCTTCATCCAAGAGAGCATGGGCACAACGTCCAGAGCTTGGCGCAGAAGAACCAAACTCAAGAAACAAGGTTGATCGATCTGCATGCATCAATAGCATTGTGTCACCAGTTGATGAACTTAATGGATTCTGATGATTCTGCGAGATTTTTTCCTTTGGCCTGCTTATTGCAATTTTCTTTTGAGCTGCAAAGTAATTACTGGCCTAGATGAGAAGCTGGATTGCATCTGACATATTTGACCTTGACTCATCACACAAGTGAGGCCTGGCTGAGAAGGAAGGCCAGCAGACCATTGACCTGGACCTGCTGGAATTTGGACCAGGTGCTTCCCTCCCAGCCAGCATTGGGGATGAAGATGGATCAAGCACATGTTCATTCACGGTTGTTTTGAGATGGGCCCAAGTCAGCCCAAGAAAACGTTTGCAAACGGTATTTGATGCATATTGCAAATTGTGAAACGCGTTTTCGCTGTTATTTGGACTGATTGAAATCTCATGCATGTTTGCGTGTGTCCAGATGATTCTTTTGTCTGGCAATTTTTTGCTAGTGAGCAGGTGGCACTTTGCAGTGGCATAGATCACGAGGGATAGATCATATGCACACTCATGCTCATGCATACGCATGCATGCGTATAGCTTTGCAATAGCATCTGTGGCTTTTTCACAGGGCACCTGCATTTGTGCCTGTTGCGATGGCCATGGAACCCCAATCCCCACGAGCTCAACGTGTGGAACTTCTCAAGGCTAGCCAGGGCTTTGATCTAGCATTGCAGCTGAGTCAAGTGGGCCTTTGATCATATGACAATGCATGTGTAAAATATATTTTTTGTATGTAATTCACTCATGCTTGTGTTTGTCTTTTATATATTTAAAGGTTGCGATACATGAGCTGAAGGCCAGATTATTTAGCTGTAGCAATTGAAATTGCTTGCCTTGGCCTTGTGTTCCTGATGTATTGAGACTTGCCGCAAACTCTCAGAATTGGAGGCCTTTTTTGTTGACATCCTGGAGGAGGAGTCATTTTTGGAGAAGAGACGCAAGCTCTTGCGACAACGCGCTGGTCTGACTGACCGTGACAAGCTGAAGGCCAAGTCCTCACATAAAATGACAACTCGTCATGCTAGTTTTGGGCAGATCTGTGGGTCATCTTGTGCGGAAAAACTGTACTACATACACACCTTGTGCATACCGGTACACCATGCATACAAAAATCATTTTCAAGTGTTAGGCCAGTCATGTGTGGCACACTTTGCCTTCGGGTTGAGACAGGCTTCATCAGTTCATGATCAATCCATTCATGGGTTATACCTTGCAACCAATGCACTCCAACATTATAAATTAGTTCTTTGTGTAATCTCACTCCAACCTATGATAGATCTAAGGAACATGTGTATAAGTCGTGGAAGGTCGATTCTTTTGGGGGTTTATTATATAATATATTATAAAGTTTCGGACCACACGAACGTTGCCCACAGCCCGCCAGGTTCCCAAGTGGCAGTTCGTGATTGTGGAGAAGGGCGCCAAGCACATTGGAGCAGCAGAGGCCTCTTTCACCACAAAGTATCGCAAGTCACCATGGTCCATGGGGTGAGAATCACAGCCTTGCAATCTTTCGAATTTCAGGGCATGGTCCATGCTGCGTGCAACGTTTTCCATGTATGTCTGAGAGAAGCTCTGTATGATATTTCGATCATTAATAGCTGCATGCGTGCGTGCATGCTATATCATGCACGTCGACTCTCAACAGCAGTGGTCGATCGATCCTTTGTCCATGCCCTGACAACACATAATGCACCTTTGATCGCAAACCATTCGCAGGCTGAGAGTGACCTCAATCATGGCTTCATCATGGAGTACTTGGCTTCTTTTTGCCATGACCTTCCTCAGCCCCTGGAAGTCAAGGTGAGGGTTCCGTTGGTACAAATCCGCAGGGACATGAAAATGATATCTGATGGGTGGATCTATAATAATATAAAATAGTTTGTTCTGGCAAGTATTGATCTCCTTCATGGTAGAACTTGGACATCTAAGATCTATGATATTAATATATATATATATATATATCGATATACGATGTATGATCAAAACAATTTGATATCTTGATGAATCTTGTGCTATCATGCATCCCATTCTCCAGGAAGCTCTGGTCTATGTCTCAGAGTACTATCGGCTGAACCCATACAAGGATCTCGGAAGCCACCAGGCCATTGGTTCTGTGCAGGACATGCGGGAGTCTCTTAAAAGTGTCATCGATTCAGATACAATAAATCATGCATGATCTCATTAGTGTCAATATCGATCTTCAGTATGGACATCCCAAATTTGATGTATAACGTAGCAATATTGTACCCTTTTTACATGTGCAAACTCAACAATAATATACAATAATAGGTAAAAAAAGATAAACAGCCAGCTGCCTGGTAACCTATCCAGAAGCCAAGTTCAATGATTTTGACATCAAATCGCAATTAATTCAAATGTGCTCCATTTGACAGGCCTGGGCAGAGATTGAAGGTGGTATCATCAGGGGCTTAGCCTCTTATTGCCTTGATCGATTTCAGCGCTACAAAAGCTCGAGGCCACCCTGGCTAACCAGGTCATCCTTTAGGGCATGCTGGGCTTCAACATGCATCCATCCATGCATGCACACACAAGTGTTTAAACTCGATTGGCCTAATATGATGACAGTTTTTGTGGGGATTGCATTGCATCTCATGACCTTTCATTTCCAAGCATGCATAGTGCCCTAGCGATGAACCCCTTTTTGACCGACCATGGCCACTGCCAGGAAAGGGCACGCAAAGATGGATGCCATTCGTGATGTGATTCGGGCACGTTTGCAGGCAGTGATTTGCCTTGGGAGATGTGATTTGCAATGTTAAAATACTACTTTAAATTAAAAGATGTCGACGTACAAAGTAACACCGTCATGATGAGCAAGGTTTTCTCAACCGTTTTCATGAATCAAGACCAAGATTTTGAGATACCAGTTGCATCTTTGCACATGCCTGTGCTGCCATGAACCTCGGAACCACCAAGCTAGCATGTTCACTTGGAGGAAATTACCCTATTCTCAAATCCCTGACTCACAGTCCTATCATGATTCGACTTCTTCCTCACATTCTCCCAGCACTGCTTTGCGCATTGCATGCCTCTCAGGCTGAGGGCAAGCTGAGTCCTGATGGCAAAAAGATCCCAACAAGGGGAAGAGGAGCCAGCCGATTGAAACAACAGGAGGCATGCGTGCAGTGTGACAAAACTTCCATATAGCATACATGTGACACTGTTTTTTTTCATGTTCTGTGGCCATTCATTTCTAGAATTGCCTTGACTCACGACCATTGATATGGTGAAGTCCAGCTCACAAATCAATCGACATTACAAATCCTGCTTCATTGAATTCAACCATAGATCCATCTGCATGCATGAGATAATTCTACGACTGCTAATGTGCAACAATGCACTCCCACTCAATGGCAGGCAGCCAAGAAAGCAGTTCTGATGGGGGATGAAAAGAAGGTGCCGATAGACAACATCGAAACCCAGGCCTGGGAGTTCACAGAATCCCAGCATCCGAGTCCCTCTCCGATCCGAAAGCTTCATGACTTTAAAGATATTCCGGAAGAACCAGCTCCCTTGCACCGGCAGAATGCTCTGGAAGCTGGGGATGAGGAGCATGCTGACACTGACACTGACGAGTCTGGTGAAGAATCCAGTGTTGAAACCGATGAGGAGGTTCAACCTATTGCAATTCATGAAGATGAAATCCTAGAGATTGAAGAGAGCAGTGAGGAAACAGTCCTGTCACCGAAGAAGGAATTAAAGCCTCCCGCAATTGCTCCTGAAGCTGTCATCGAGGAGGTGTGCGAGATTGAAGATGAGCCAAGATCAGAACAACCAGCACATCTTGATCTGGAAGACTCACAACAGCTGTTTGAATCCCAAGTGTTTGATGAAGTTCAAGTTCTGGCCGATTCAGATGAAGAGAATGCAAAACCAAGTTCTGGTGTCTTCAAGGTGGGGTGCAAGTGCAATGGGCATATAAACAAGTAGCACAAGTAACTGTCCAACATGCATGTACGTGTCATATGATAATACATCATATAATAGTAGTATGATATATATCATGTCGTTTATTGTTTCTGTATTTTTATGTTTGATGCCTTGAGGGCTTGCCCAAACATTGCAGAATCAATGTCAGTTGCAACTCTTCTATGTGGCATGCATTTGTCACACATTGACTACCGTGTACAGGACAGAAAGCCTCTATGCCAAAAAGTGGACATTCCTCAGAGTCTGAGTGCACAGGCAGCAACCCAAATCCAATCTTTGCACGATGACCCTATGGCAGCTGTCCATGAAGCGGAAATTCTCAAGGCACTTGGGTTCCTCATGTTTCTTCATCGATTGATGCATCATCGACGGTTGCCTTTCCACCCACCATAATGCATGCTCAAGCTACCATTGCAACCAACAAGTATGCCATTGTTTTCTGCCAGCTGATCGTTTGCCGGAAAGAGTGCAAATTATGATTAAGATCCAAACACTTGTAGTAGTGTCCAATGTCATGACATGTCATGACAGATTAAATAAGTCATGATCATCTAT